AAAAAAAAAAAAAAAAAAATAGAAAAATTAGCCAGGCATAGTGGTACATGCTTGCAGTCTGAGCTACTTGGGAGACTGAGGCAGGAGGCTCGAGCCCAGGAGTTTGAAGCTGCAGTGAGCTATGCTGATGCCACTACACTCCAGCCCAGGTAACACAGCAAGACGCTATCTCAAAAAAAAAGATTTAATACACTTAGCCTACCTTAATTGTGCTTGGAATATTTACATTAGCATACAGTTGGACAAAATCATCTAACACAAAGCCTATTCTGCACTAAGGCTGGGGGTCCTCAAACTTTTTAAACAGGTGGCCAGTTCACTGTCCCTCAGACCGTTGGAGGGGTGTTGGAGAGTGCAGCGCACATTCCACACATGCGCACTGTGGGCCTGGGACAAGTCGGCCGCTAAGCAGGACAGGCAGCAGCAAGACAGGCAGCAGCGGCAAAAACTCGGCAGGCCGCATGTGGTCATAGTTTGAGGATGCCTGCACTAAGGTGTTGAATGTCTCATTTATTGAATACCGTACTGAAATACAGTTTCTACTGAATGTATAAAGTTTCTGCACCATGATAAAGTAAAAAAATCATAAGTCAAACCATTATAAGTCAGGGACCATCTCTATACAATTCAGTGTAGATCAGTAACACTGACCCAGGCTATATGCTTCTAGAGAGAGGGTCTTATTTACCATTTCCTCAGTGCCTAATCCATTTAGTAAAAATCTGTTGAATGAATGAGCAAAGGGACACTGGAAAATATGAATCCACAATATAACTCTGTAGCACACTATATATAGTTCATCACTCAGCTACTTAGTCTAACATAAGCACCAAATTCTAATTAAAGAAAGGGATTAAAAGAAATTCACCCACTATATTTTATTATCACAATTTAAAAGTTAAGAACCATTTTAATTCAGCCAATTCTGGCAAAAAAAAAAAAAAAAAAAAAAAAGGTCTTATAATCCTCAGTTTCCAGAAAGAAGAAAAAAGGAGAAAGAAGCAGAGAAGTAAGAATTAAAAAACTAGAGAACATATTTAGGGTTTCTTGGAGTTCTAAAATGCTCTAAACTGCAACTCATCTTTCATTCAACATTTTTTGAATGTTGTGTTCTAAGCATTTGGAATGCATTTTTATGAATATACAACCCATAAACTCCCTCCTCACTAGAGCACTTAACTAGTCTTAAAAAAAAAAAAAAAAAAGAATATACAACCCATAAACTGATGCAATAAGGAGGGGAAATAAAGAGATGAGGACAGGCGGGGGCAGTGGCTCACGCCTGTAATCCTAGCACTTTGGGAGGCTGAGACCGCAGGATCGCTTGAGGTCAGGAGTTTGAGACCAGCCTGAGCAAGAGCAAGACCCCATCTCTACTATAAATAGAAAGAAATTAGCCGAACAACTAAAAATAGAAAAAATAAGGGGGGCGAGGTGGTGTGCACCTGTAGTCCCAGCTACTCGGGAAACTGAGGCAGGAGGATCACTTGAGCCCAAGGAGTTTGAGGTTACTGTGAGCTAGGATGACGCCAGGGCACTCTAGCCCAGGCAACAGAGTGAGACTCTGTCTCAAAAAAATTTAAAAAAAAAAGAGAACAGGACAGGACTGCTAAAAGTCTCAGTATCCACAAAATACAAGTATACTTCCTTAGAAAATACATGCAATATAAACAAGAAATCAAGTTTTCCCTTGTGTTCTATCAAGATATTTAAAATCACATACAGAAGGCAAAATTAAAAGCTACCATTATAATATATCTTCATAAAAATGTTTAAAGTACATTTTCAGAAAACCATTAAGGTTTATATAACTGACATGCAATCTAGCTAAAACCTGTACACAAAACCAATCTTCCTAATTTCTAGAGCTTCTAAAATATAAGTGAAGTCACTAGACTGCCCTTCCACTCAGGTCCAGTAAGTGTTATCTGTCAATAACATAACACTTCATTTCCAAAGCCCCACTTTGCAAGATAAACTGCCTGCAATTCCATGTTTGTATGTGGTAATATATACCTGAGTTTTTTTTAAATACTACCTAATTACGGATAGGCATTATTTAGTGTTCAATAATTTTAAGTAAAGCCAATGGGGCAAGTATTTCAGTAGCTTTATCAAGCTTGTTTTTCGCTTGTACAATGATTCATATAACACACATTGGACTAATGAGTGTCCATCAAATCCTATCTACTCTCCCCAACTCACCTTATACAATATAAACAAGCAGATGAAACCAATGGATGCAGGTTTCAGTACCTATTTACATTATTCAAGTGCCCAAAAAAGGTTCTTAAACCATTTTTTAGCTCTATCAAAAGTTTTATAAACTTTCTGTAATCTTACTGAAAGATACTTTATATTAAAGTCTGACATTTATTAAAGCAAACGGTATCATGTTTAAGTGAGTTACCCTCTTTAAAAAAAAGGTTCCTGGTTTACATTTAGAAATGCTATTTTATCAACTTGCTTCTCTCTTTTTTGCTTTAATTTTCCTCTGCAGCAAAACTGATATAAAGAATTCCTTCAAGCAATAGTTACAAGTAAAGTTTTAACAAATATTTTGCTACCTCTTCAAATACATGTTTTAGAATTCAACAGGCAGACACTTCTTAACTAATCAAAAACCTTCAGTCAGATCAGTTTAAAATGCAGAGTTAATTTGTATTAACAAACATACAATCTTAGTTTGAAATGAGATTAAGTAGGTTAGAGGTGAATAAAGGTTTAATTTTACAATTTCTTAAAGCCAGGTACATCACTGGCTTCACACCCTTCAAACTTAAGAAACACTTCTGAACCTTTAAGCTGTAAATCAGTTTGACTAATGTCCTCTTTCATGTCATGTAAGCTATTGCCTAATTGAGACCAGATCTGTCAGGCTCAACAGCATCCCGGAAATGACTACCCTACTAGGGCTGGAAACACATCAAGAATTTGGAATATTTCTCATATTGAAGCAGGGGGAAAAAATTCAAATAAGATTGTCCACAAGAACAATCATTATACTGTTCCACAGGAAAAAAGACATAAAAAGCTTTTTTTTGTTGTTATTATTCTGATAAGTCCACAACCAATGCATCTAAACCCTGTATCTTGCTGTCAAAGGATGGCCCACTGAACTTATCCCTCTTCTTCCTATATATGAACAAGAGTTCATTCCTAAAGTCTCATTCTGAATGCCTATTTTTGAACCTAATTTTCATTTTATATCCTTAGCTACTAAAACCACCTGGAGCATGATTGGTTTCCTGACTTAAAAACCTGTTAATACTGCCTAGCACCTAATCTTAACGTTTTTCACTTCTAACGAAGAATATCCATCCATTACATGTCGAAATGAAACGCACACACATACATACACACACACACTCAAATCCCAGCCATAATATTCCGGCCATCAACTGTGCAATAGACACTTCCAGTTAGCGTGTGCTTTAGTGCTCATGGACAGCGGTATCAGAGTAAGTGGAAGGGGGTTGGGGCTGTTAACAATATACAGTGCATCACAGCCAATAAGCAGCAGGCCGGGACTGGCAGCGAGGCCAGTCTCTGAAGGGAGCTATAACACAATATCAGAATGCTGGACTTCCGAATGCCATTTTATGGGGTGGGAGGGGGTATGAACTGGGAATCAAATACAGTAAAAGGCTCTGGTCAACGACTGAGGAGATGAAACCTAAGACAAGGTCTTGTGGCAACGCCAGTTGCCAAGTCTCATCTCACCTCACCTCAAACACAACTTAATTTCAGGTCGTTCTTATCAAAGTCAGCCGCTCAAAGGGTGAGGGGTGGCAGGAGTGGTTGGTCATAGCCCCCAAGAGACTGGCAAAGGCCCTTGGAAAAGGCAGAGACTCCCCCCTAGGAAGGCGTTCCAGTATAGCAAAAAGAAGAGCGCTTGGTAGCCGCCTCCTCTCTCCCTTCCAGCTAAGGCTATTAGGAACCAGGTTAGGGTGGTGTTGGAGGTTTTTATGAAGGAGTGACATGAGAAAATGGCTGTGAAGGATGAGGGGGACTAGAAGGCCCTGGAGCCACCCAAGAAAATGGGGAGAAGAGGACTTCCCTGGACACATCCAGGACAACAACGCCACCAAAGAGCACGGACATTGCCCTGCCAGCGCCTGATGCCCCTCTCTCAGGGAAAGCTTCGCCCCCTTCCATACGGTCCCAATTCCCAAACACTGCTTCCCACCTGACCTCACTCCCTCATAATATTCCCCAGCACTGGCTGCCTTTCCCTTCCGCTTCAGGCGCCCCACACCCTCAACCTCCCCTCTCCTTTCCCGGTCACCCACCCTCCGGGCAGACCGTCGCGGGCCTCCCCGGCAGCTCGCCCAGACCCCTCCCCCCTCACCTCTCCTCAGCGCCTCCTCGTAGCTGAGGAATCCGATCCGTGACTCCTTGGCGCCCATGCTCCCCTCATCCCCTCGGCCGGGGGTCGGAGCCTGATCTCGCCCCCACCCCCCTCCCGCCTTCTCCTCGGCGTCCCTGGGTGACGGTGTCGGCGTCCCCCGCCCCCACCTCCCCCCACACTAACAAGTGCGGATTCTGCCCCGGCGGCTCCTCCCGGCCGCCGCCACCGCCCCCATGCCGAATCACGTGACCCGCTTCCACCCCGCCCCCTTCCCCTCCCTTCTACTCCGCCCTTCTCCTCTCTCCTCCTTTCCCTTCCCTCCTCACGCCCTCTTCCCTCCCCGCGCCCTCCTCCCGCCAGCCCCGCCAAGGGTCACCTGACCCGAGGCCAGGGATTGTTCCGGGTAATGGCCGCCAAGGGCCACACACTCCGCCCCGCCCCACGCTAACCGCGCGCATGAGCGGAGGGGGGGCCGCCTCACCGCACGTAACGCGTCACCCCCACCTTCCCGCCAATCCCGAGCCGCGAAGCCCGCCCGGGCGCCTCCGCCGGCAAGGGAGGGCGGTGACTTCCGGGGCGCTCGAGGCCGGCCCCTCACGCCCACACACCCTGGTGCTTGGCGGGTGGGGCAGAGCGAGTGACGGTTAGTGTGGCAGCGGCCGAGACTCATCTTGCAGGACAAGTGGAATCTTAGGGAACGGGGGTCTGAGGGGTGCGGTTCATAAGTGAGCAGGCGGGAAACTCCCCAGGTTAAGGAAATTTTTGACTAAGAGGGAATTGTGAAAGGAAAGGAGAATCTCAGGACTTTCTTGTGACGAAAGAATTCTTATTCCTGGCAGGGAGATCCCCAAGGAAAGTGAATGAAGTTGAGAATATCTTCGCTTACGCATCATTCTGTCCCCCCTGGGAAAGGACTGCCGCTGGATGTCCTTTACCAGCCCCGGTCCCAGCTGCCAGTGGCCCACCTCCTCCGCCCTGGGCCTGCCTCTTGCGGACTCTGGAAACCGCGCTACCAGGCTTATCTTGCCTCTTCACTCGCGGAGTTGCTCTCTGCCAGAAATGTGAGGGTTGCAAAGCTTAGAATGAAGTACCTTGCTTTTTTGTTTTTAACTGTAGTATCATTTTTAGTGGCATTAAGAGCTTTTACATTATTGTGCAGCCATTGCCACCATCCACCTCCAGTACTTTTTTCTTCTTGCAAAACTGAAACTCTCCCCATCAGGAACTCTCCATTCCCCTATCCCATCGGTCCATGGCAACCACTATTCTACTTTCTATTAATTGGACTACTGTTAAAGTATTTCATATGACTGGAACTATACAGTAGTTCTCTTTTATAACTGGCGTATTTCATTTAGCATAGTGTCTTCCAGGTTCATTGTGTTGTAGCATGTGTCAGAATTTCCCAGATCTGCCTCTGGGTATATACCCAAAGGAATTGAAAGCAGGGATGTGAACAGCTATTTGTGCACTCATATTTATAGCGGGATTATTCACAATAGTCAAAAGGTGAAAACAACTAGGAGTGTCTTGAATGGATAAGCAAAATGTGGCATATATGTACAATAGAATTATTATTCAATTCCATGCTTTTGTTAACAGGGGAAAAAAAAGCCAAACTCTAATTTTAAAGAGATTTACTCTGAGCCAAATTTGGGCTCAGCTCTCTCAAAGTCATGAGTTCGAAACCAGCCTGAGCGAGTTGCCGTCTCTACTAAAAAAATAGAAAGAAATGGATTGGACAACTAAAAATATATACGAAAAAATTAGCTGGGCATGGTGGTGCATGCCTGTAGTCCCAGCTACCTGGGAGGCTGAGGCAGTAGGATTGCTTGAGCCCAGGAGTTTGAGGTTGCTTTGAGCCAGGCTGACACCACTGCACTCTAGCACAGGCAACACAAGAGAGACTCTTTCTCAAAAAAAAGTTCTTAATTAGAGATAAGCCACGGGACATATATTTGTTGTGTAAATTGAGGACCTGCAGGTTTGTCTTGAATACCCTTAGGCCTGTTAATGGGTTACAAATGATGTCCCCAAGAAGGGGGGTGCATGATGAGGCATGTCTGACCTTCCTCCTGTCAGGCAATTTAGTTTTAGGATATTCTTTTGGCCATGAGGGGTTCCATTCAGTCTGTGCAGGTGGGCGGGCGTGGGGGAGGGGTGTTAAAACTTTTATTTTAGTTCACACTTTTTAACTCCTTTTAGTTTACTTTCGTCTTTGATGTGAAAGTCACAGTTACAAAGCTTCTAAATAAAGAAGCAACATTGAAAACCATTTGGATTAGATTAGACTCAAAGTGCTAGTTAGGTAATTTAGGGCCAGCAAAAGGATTTTAGTTCTAAAACCAGCAGATTCTAATATGCCCTGCTAGAGAAAAAAAGTAATACTCTACTCACCTTTCCTGGCAGACCAGATCAGCAGTGTGACATAGTCACAGCACTGCCCTTTCCAGTTCACTGTGAGGCGGTTAATTTTAAGACTTCAGATTAGTTGCATTACTAAAAGGCCATGAATCAGGGCGTTGGGAATGTATTTCAAAGCCTTTAATTTCCAGGTCATTAGTTCAGTGTAGACATACATCTTCAGACAAAACAACTCAGTCATCTTCAGCCTACAGAGTACAGTTCTGAGTTAGATTATGCTAATTAATGGGAAGTGAATCTTAAGGGCTCAGCTGTGAGAGAAAGAAACCCTCAAGAGTTCAGTGGCAACATACCCTAGGCATTGTTACTGTCCTAAACAATCAGTACCTAAAGATAGTTTTGCTACGCAAAGGAGAAACCTGGATGTTTATCTACCCACTTGATTTACACTGGACTCCAGAACAAATTAATTTATCTCTTTGTGGCACTTGCCCCACTTGAAAGATGGGATTAGAGTTGGGATTCATCTATCTCATGAAATAGTAAATGATTATAAAATACTTAGGAAAGACTAGAATACAATTATGCATCGTTTACAGATGGGGATGCATTCAGAGATATGCATTGTTATGTGACTTTATCATGTGAACGTCATAAAGTGTACTTACACAAACCTAGATGGTATAACCTACTACACACCTAGGCTATGTGGTATAGTGTGTTGCTCCTAGGCTACAGATCTGTATAGCTTGCTACCACAGACACTTGGAACCAATGTTATTTGCATATCTAAACATAGAAAAGGTACAGTAAAAATAGTGTTACAATCTTTTGTGACCACCATTATGTAGGTGGTCATTCATTGACTGAAATGTCATTATACAGCGCATGACTGTATAAACTTTATAATGTAAGATTTAGCGCACAGGAACTTTTAAAATTTTCCTCCTTAAGTTTCACGCCTGTCTTCCCCTAGGGCCATAGAATTTTTCACTCCATCACAAGATTTATTATGGATTAAACACTTCTAAAAAATTTTTAAATTGAGATAGCAAACTAAGAAATAATATTTCTCTTTTGTCTGAGTTAGGTACATTATTGAAGGCAGTGAAGCAGATAGTTATGTCTGCTGGGAATTTTAAATGTTAAACTGGAATTAAAACCTGCCTTTTGGCTGGTCCGAAGGTAGTGAGTTATCTCACGTGATTGTTCACAGTCAGGTACAGATTGAACTCCTTGTTCTACTACTTTCCCCCCTCCTCACTACTGCACTTGACTAGTCTTAAATTTTTTTAAAATAAAAAAAATTAAAAATAAAAAACCTGCCTTTTAGTTTGTATTACACTGTAGTAGGCAGTCAAATGTTAAACATCCCTCTATAACTTGAAATTGATACAGTACTTAAGTTTGACAGTGTAGAAAATCTGAATTCTATTTAGCCTGCTGAAAGGAATTCTATTAATCATTTAGCTTGTTCAATTTCACTATAAGTCACATAATACATTGAAGAGTTGGCCAGCACATCACTTTTAAGTATTTGGTTGTACTTAGTAAACCACTGCTTTATCTATAATTACATGCCTGTGAAAGGGTTGACCATATGGAGATTTAAAACATGGGAGATTGGTATGTAATTTCTACTTCTAGTTGGACAACCTAAATGATAGTGTTCCTATTGGTACTCCCAGAGAAATGACAAGAATAGCACAGAGTCATTTTATTAATAGTACTTGCCAAAAAAGCTTAGATAAGCTAGAGATTAGGAGATCAATACAATCAAGAGTCATGGAAGAGCACCTAATTTATGTATGACTTCATTGCCACCATGTCAAACCGACACTCTATGAAGTGTGACTATACAATAAGAGAATTCAGTTTCCAGTATTATGGACTTGTTACCTTTTAGTGACAATACGAGGATGTGGTCACATTTATTATATTTTTATTTACACTAAACCCCCCCCCCCCCACTTGACTCTCTTTTTTCCGGTTCACTGCCCCCCCCTTTTTTCTTTGTACAGACAGACTCCTGGGCTCAAGTGATCCTCTTGCCTGAGCCTCCAGAGTAGCTGGGACTAGAGGTAAGCACCACCATGTCCAGCTAATTACTTTTTATTTTTTGTAGAGGCAGGGACTCTATATTGCCTATATTGCTATATTGCCTCTGGTCTTGAACTTCTGGCCTCAATCAGTCCTCCCATCTCTGTCTCCCAAAGCGCTGGGATTAGAGGCATGAGCCACTGCACCTGGCCAAAGGAGAGTTTTTGCATTACCCTTTACCCATTACAAATTCTGCCAACAAAGAAATGAATCCCTGCTTTTTTCAACATGAAGTTCATTTTCATTTTAAACCTGGACAAAATATTGGGAGAATAGCTAAAGATATTAATACATCATTCTCTAATCTACAATTATTTCTCCTTTTTGTTTATCATTCTTTAAATAGAGCCTAAAATTGGCAAAATTTCAACAGGACATATCCCGTAAGAGCTTTAAGATTCACAAGATACCTAAGTTAAAATTAAGAATGGGAAAGAAATAGAACATTCAGAGTAAGGAAGGACCTTAACTTAGGCCTTTCTTAGAAGTTCTCTTTTTCCATTTTACCACAGTTCATGCTTGTCAAACAATTTACTGAACCTGTGAGTAAATGTTTATATAATATTCCTATATTGATTGCCCTTCTCCACCTTAGCTGCAATGAAGTTGTATTTGTGTCTCCTTCAAATCAATAGTTTACAAAGGTTAGGGGATGGGTCTTATGGGGAGTATACCATTGGCTTCTTTTTTCTTCTTAGCTCCTGAAAAACCAAGTAGCTTCCTTTCAGTCCTCTTCTGATCTCCTTATTACTTCTTATGTGGCAGCTGGATTGTACTCTTAGGCCAGTCTTTTCCAGAAAAATACAAACTACAAGCTTGAGTATAGGTACATCAGTCAAATTCTATTCAGCAATTAAAACGCAGAATAATCCAGAATCCAACTTTGAACACATAGGATATACCTTACTTCAATCTTTAGGCCATAAATAACTTTGTCAGAAGTCCAGTTTATCTTTCTAATATGCTTTCTTAGGTATTTGAAAAATGCCAACTCTAGCTGTGTATCTTTGACTTTGATTTCTTTTTTTTTTTTTTTTTTGAGATAGAGTCTTGCTTTGTTGCCCAGGCTAGAGTGAGTGCCGTGGCATCAGCCTACCTCACAGCAACCTCAAACTCCTGGGCTCAAGCAATCCTCCTGCCTCAGCCTCCCGAGTAGCTGGGACTACAGGCATGTGCCACCATGCCCGGCTAATTTTTTCTATATATATCATAGTTGGCCAATTAATTTGTTTCTATTTATAGTAGAGACAGGGTCTCACTCTTGCTCAGGCTGGTTTCAAACTCCTGACCTTGAGCAATCCGCCTGCCTCAGCCTCCCAGAGTGCTAGGATTACAGGCGTGAGCCACCGCGCCAGGCCTGACTTTGATTTCTTCATCTTGTAGATGATAGATTTAAACTCAGACTTTTCCAGTTCTTAAATTCTCTCATTATTTCTTGGAATGTACAATCATTTGCCAGCTCAAACCTGTTTTCATTTTTAATTGAAGCTCAATTTTTCTCACTTGGCTATTAATACAATGTTTTTATTCTGCTTTCCAAATTTTACTGAATTCTTAGTCTGCTGTTTTTCTAATTGTTCCCCCTTTCTTCACTCCAAGCCTTCTTTTGATCAATAACTATTATTCTGATACTCAAAAAATTCTGATAATCAAAAATTCTGAGGCAGAGACCAGGCAAAGTGGCTCACACCTATAATCCCAGGACTTTTAGAGGCCGAGGCCGGAGGATTGCTTGAGGTCAGGAGTTGAAGACCAGTCTGAGCATCATAGCGAGGCCCCATCTCTACAAAAAAAATAGAAAAATTAGTCAGGCATGGTGGCATATGCATGTGGTCCCAGCTACTTGGGAGGCTGAGGCAGAAGAATCACTTGAGCCCAGGAGTTTGAGGCTGCAGTGAGCTATGATCATGCCACTGCCTTCATGCCCAGGCAACAAAGCAAGATTCTGTATCAAAAAGAAAAAAAAAATTCTGAGGCAGAGAGATGCCTGCCTACATATAGGTATTTAATAGCCAGTAATTGCGGTATAATCTGGAAACTCTCAGTAGGATTTACAGTAGGAATGGGTATGGGGTTAATCATTAGCGTCTTAAAAGGAGTTAGGAAATGTAACGCATGATTCATGGCTCTAGGTGTAGGTAAAACTTTGTGTTTGGTAGTATTGATCCAACAATTAACATCTTTAAGAATCCCAATATTTTCTTCCGAAAGGATTTGAAAGCTATAAAATAGCATTTGGTCAAAAGCTTTTTGGCAACTCTGTTTAGTCACTGGTGTGCTAGTAGAGGGAAAGGGGAAGAGAATCAAATCTGGGCTTCTTAGAAAGAGGAAGGAAAGTCATATAAAAAAGAGGAAGTTGGCAAGTCTCTCACTCATGCCTATTTAACATCCTCCCACTGCTCTAACAAGTAGTATAAATATTGCAGATAGTCCATTTTAATATTTATAAATCACTTTCTGTGTGCTAAATCCTAAGAAATACAAAGATGACTTTTTAAAAAAATATCTGGGAAATACTATATGATTAAGATAAATATAAATCGAGAAACTTGAAGATATTAAAAAAAAGATAAATATAAGATGTTATGGGAACCTAGAGTAGGGAGAGGTATTGGTCCAAACTGAAGGACTGGGAAGAAAGAGGAAAGCCTGGGGGATGTAAGTCTTAAGAAATCAGCTGTTCATTTACTCCAACAAATCCAGCATGCCTACTATATGACAGGCATTGTTTTAGGCACTGAAGATACAGAATTGAGCGAAGTAAAAATTACTGCTCTCACGGAATTTGCATTCTAGTAGGAAAATAAAGATAAGTATAATAACAGTAAGTCAGTTGTTAACAAGTTCTGTGGAGAAAAATTGCAGAGGAGGGAGACAGGATGTGCTGACATGAAGGTTGCAATTTAAAATAGAATGGTCAGAGGGGACCAAAAGTGATATTTAAGCCAACATCTAAAGAAGATAATGGAGCAAACCTTGTGGATAGACTGTCCTAGGCACTGAGGCAAGAACGTTTCTGGCAAGCGTAAGCACCAGCAAAGAAGCTAATGTGACTACAACAATGAGGGAAGTGGTTGGGAGCAAATCCCCCTTAAAGACTTTGGCTCTCTCTCTTTGGAAAATGGGATGCTGTTGCAGGTTTTTGAAT